AAGAAGAAGGAGGAGGAGGAGGAGGAGGAGGAGGAGAAAAGGAGGAGGAGAAAAGAAGAAGGAGAAGAAAAGAAGAAGACGAAAAGAAGAAGAAAAGAAGAAGGAGAAGAAAAGAAGAAGAAGAAAAGAAGAAGAAGAAGAAGAAGAAGAAGAAGGAGAGAAGAAGAAGAAGAAGAAAAGAAGAAGAAGAAGAAGAAGAAGAAGGAGAGAAGAAGAAGAAGAAGAGAGAAGAAGAAGAAGAAGAAGAAGAAGAAGAAGAAGAAGAAGAAGAAGAGAGAAGAAGAAGAAGAAGAAGAAGAAGAAGAAGAAGAAGAAGAAGAAGAAGAAGAAGGAGAAGGAGAGAAGGAGAAGAAGAAGAAGAAGAAGAAGAAGAAGAAGAAGAAGAAGAAGAAGAAGGAGAAGAAGAAGAAGAAGGAGAAAAGAAGAAGAAGAAGAAGAAGAGGAGGAGGAGGAGGAAGAAGGAGGAGGAGGAGGAGGAGGTAGCGGGAGGGGACGAATGAAGCGGGGGGAAATCGGAGGGGCGGACGAACCATGAGAGACGATGGACTCTGAACAACAAACTGAGGGTTCTAGAGGGGAGGGGGGTGGGAGGATGGGTTAGCCTGGTGGTGGGTATTGAGGAGGGCCCATTCTGCATGGAGCACTGGGTGTTATGCACAAACAATGAATCATGGAATACTTCATCTAAAACTAATGATGTAATGTATGGGGATTAACCTAAGAATAAAAAAATAAATTAATTAAAAAAAAGAGAGAGAATGGGAGAATGTTGGAAACCTTAGTTTGAAGAGTCACAGTCAGATACTCAAGGAAACCAGAAGGATCCAGGATCCAGTCCAGTTTTATAGGCAAACAATAAACGTTCAAAGATAATTAATCTAACACTCACAAAAGTGTGTTATTGAAATGTAATCTTTCTCTCTAAAGTCACCTTCATTCCTGTCAAAGATAGCCAAAAGAAGATTAATTTGTTTGTAAAACAAGTCCAGTTTTAACAAACTTGGCCCAATCATCTACGTAGGGACAGCAAGAATAGCAATTGACCATATATGGGGTCTTTCTTCTCTTTTCTTTTTCCTTTCCTTCTTTTAAATCTGCTTTGATGGAGCTTTTTACAAGGAATTTTAGATTGATCCTTTAACTGCCTTTTTAAAGCCGAGAACCAAGCCAAATATTGGCCATCAGATTCGCCTGCAAGACTTGTAGATTTGCGGAGGGGTAGACGAACCAGGAGAGACGATGGACTCTGAACAACAAACTGAGGGTTCTAGAGGGGAGGGGGGTGGGAGGATGGGTTAGCCTGGTGGTGGGTATTGAGGAGGGCGCATTCTGCATGGAGCACTGGGTGTTGTGCACAAACAATGAATCATGGAACACTACATCTAAAACTAATGATGTGATGTACGGGGATTAACATAAGAATAAAAAAAATTACAAAAAAAAAAAAGACTTGTAGATTTGGGTGAATTCCTCTCTTCTTTGAGGGCCTCCAAATTTCCTGAAGTTCCTGCATCTGCCAGGAGGTGGTACTCTTCACTCACCTGGTAAGGTTGAGGGGACCTCTCTAAGCAAGGTTATCAGGCCAACATTTCTAAGGGGCTTTACTGGCTCCATAAAGTCAATCTGACTTTCTTAAAGCAGTCTCACCATATCTGAGTCTACGCATGTGTCTCTTCGAGATGACAGTCCAGGGGCACCTGGCTGGCTCAGTCGGTAGAGAGCACGACTCTTGATCTCAGGGTTGTGAGTTCGAGCCCCACGTTCAGTGTAGAGATTATTTAAAAAATAAAATCTCGGAGGAGCGCCTGGGTGGCTCAGTCGTCAAGCGTCTGTCGGCCTTCGGCTCAGGTCATGATCCCAGGGTCTTGGGATCGAGCCCCACATCGGGCTCTCTGCTTGGCCGGGAGCCTGCTTCTCCCTCTCCCGCTCCCCCTGCTTGTGTTCCCTCTCTCGCTGTGTCTCTCTCTGTCAAATAAATAAATACAATCTTAAGAAAGAAAAAAAGAGTACACTAACAATCCAAGAAAACCTTGTCATTTTAACATAGAAAACCCAAATCTCAATCTTATACCAGTGTGCTTTTCTTCTTCTTTTTTTTATTCTTATGTTAATCCCCTACATTACATCATTAGTTTTAGATGTGGTGTTCCATGATTCATTGTTTGTGCACAACACCCAGTGCTCCATGCAGAATGGGCCCTCCTCAATACCCACCACCAGGCTAACCCATCCTCCCACCCCCCTCCCCTCTAGAACCCTCAGTTTGTTGTTCAGAGTCCATCGTCTCTCATGGTTCGTCCGCCCCTCCGATTTCCCCCGCTTCATTCGTCCCCTCCCGCTACCTTCTTCTATTTTTTTTTTCTTCTTCACATAGATTGCGTTATTTGTTTCAGAGGTACAGATCTGAGATTCAACAGTCTTGCACAATTCACAGCGCTTGCCAGAGCACCTACCCTCCCCAGTGTCTATCAGCCAGTCACCCCATCCCTCCCACCCCACCCCCCACTCCAGCAACCCTCAGCTTGTTTCCTGCGATTAAGAATTCCTCCTATCCGTGAGATCATAGGATACATGTCTTTCTCTGTTTGACTTATTTCGCTCAACATAATACCCTCCAGTTCCACCAGTGTGCTTTTCAAACTGCCTTCTCCCAAGCTCAGTCAGTCCTGACCATGCATAAAATTCCTTTTCAAAAATTCTCCTTCACAAACCCCTTCCACAATTTCCTTTTTCATTCAGACTCGGTCTTAAAGTTTTCTTTCTTTAAGTACCCAGTCCCGTTTCAGTACACCATTACTTCCTTTTCCCTCAACAAAAAAAATGTTTTCTCATTTCTTGTACCTCTTTTACACGTCTCCTACCTTCCCACACACGGAGTTGTTTTTGTTATCATTTTGTAGCAGTCCCAATTCCATGTGGCAGAATTTTAATTCTTAGAAATCTCAGTCTCTGGTGAAACGTTAGTAGTAACCAATGGCGCACTCTCTATTACACCAGAATTCTTTAGATTGGCAAATGTATGAATATATTTCATAAATTTTATTTATTTGACAGAGAGAGACACAGCGAGAGAGGGAACACAAGCAGGGGAAGGGACAGAGGGAAAAGAAGGTTCCCCAATGAACAGGGAGCCCAATGCGGGGCTCGATCCCAGGACCCTGGGATCATGACCTGAGCCGAAGGCAGACGCTGAACGACTGAGCCACCCAGGCACCCAAACGTGGTTGGTTGGTTGGTTGGTTTTTATAAAGGTGATGGAGAGGTATATTTTGATAACCACAAATACAGGCTCACTGTTGTGACGGGAGCGTGGCACATTCCACTGCCCACCCAACGGCTTGTAACGCAGGGAGAACCGAATCCAAGTGCTTTTATGACAAAGAAAAGAAAGAAAAGGAAAGAAAGAAAGAAAGAAAGAAAGAAAGAAAGAAAGAAAGAAAGAAAGAAAGAAAAAAGGGAAAGAAAGAAAGAAAGAAAGAAAGAAAGAAAGAAAGAAAGAAAGAAAGAAAGAAAGAAACGCAAAGTTGATTATTTGTATTATGTGTGACATTGATAGCTCCAAAACCACGTCTTTTTAAAATAAACCAACAACCTTGAATTGGCTTTAACGCCAAAGAAGTTGCACCTGCGTCCACTAAAAAGTCAATCGATTGTTTTCCCCCATCAGACTCCTTGGGGAAAGTCTGAAGCGGGCGGTCTAAGATCAGCGGAGCCCTCGGGCCCCTTCCTGCTAGTTTGGGAGGTGCTCCAATTTAAACCTCATAAGGAGGTGGCCCAAGGGCTTGGGCCCAAGGGCAAGGGCTTTTGCTCCTTGATAAGGGGGTGGGGAGGAGGAGGAGGAGGAGGAGGAGAAAGGGGAGCCCATGGCACCCGGGGGGGGGGGGGCGGGGGGGCGGGGGTAGGGAAGGGCGGCTGAGACGGCGGCAGGGGAGTAGAGCACTCCAGGCACACACACCAGTGGTGCAGAAACGGGGCAGGGGAGGCGGCAAGGGAGCCATTGGTAAGGCCCAGGGCACATATACATTTACAGTTTTGGACGAACCTTTTCTTTTTTTTCTTCTCCCTCCGCCTCCGCCTCCGCCTCCGCCTCCGCCTCCGCCTCCGCCTCCGCCTCCGCCTCCGCCTCCGCCTCCGCCTCCGCCTCCGCCTCCGCCTCCGCCTCCGCCTCCGCCTCCGCCTTTCTTCATCTCCTTCTGCTTAATAGGCTTTGTCTGTGGTGGCTTTTCAGCCCTCCGGAAGCCAGTGGGTTGGGCATCGGTTCTGGTGCCTGTACTTGGGGAGGAGGAGGAGTGGATTTCAGATTTCTAGCATCGGCCTGTCTTCCTCCTCTTCTTCATTATTTTGACTGTTGGGAAGTGGGGGTAAGGTCAGGTGTGTTAAATTTTTGTCTATCTCTGGGCCGTCCCTTGGGTCCCTTACCTTGAGGCATCTTTATTGTGGAGTGACATAAGAGTCTGAATGTAGGGAATTTCATCCCAGATCATGTGAGCTTGAAAAACTGGGTTTATTCTTATCTGAGTTTTACCATGCCCGATTTTTACGAGCACCTGCCTCTAAACTCTTTAAGTAGGGGCACCTGTGTGGCTCAGGCAGTTAAGTGTCTGCCTTGCGTTCACATCATGATCCTGGGGTCCTGGGATGGAGCCCCACATCCGGCTCCCTGCTCCGCGGGGAGTCTGCTTCTCCCTCTCCCAATGCCCCCCCACCCCCAGCTCGTGTGCTCTCTCACTCGCTTTCTTTCAAAGACATAAATAGAATCTTTAATAAAAATAAAACTCGGGGCACCTGGATGGCTCAGTGGTTAAGCGTCTGCCTTTAGCTCAGGTCATGATCCGAGGGTCCTGGGATCAAGCCCCTGCATCGGGCTCCCTGCTCGGCGGGAAGCCTGCTTCTCCCTCTCCCACTCCGCCTGCTTGTGTTCCCTCTCTCGCTGTGTCTCTCTCTGTCAAATAAATAAATAAAATCTTTAAAGAATAAAATAAATAAAATAAAATAAAATAAAATAAAAATAGAACTCATTAAATAGAGCTCCTTTACAAATGGATGTTAGCAATAGCACCCGGAGGTGGAGGAAATACCTCACATGTATAACACATACGGACACATAGACACAAACAAGATGCAAACAAATTTTAGCCTTTGTTTCAGTCTTATTTGTGGAGAGGACATGAATGGAGAGGACACGAAAGACCCAATGTTCAAATCTCCCTCTTTTAGTAAAACAAATGCAACTGCGAAGCAGCATTACCGTGTACAGATCCCACCCGTCAGTTGTTTTCCATTCCCAATGGAAACAGGGTCGGTTTTATGCAAAGATAGCAAAAGCTGCAGCAACCAACCAACCAACCAACCAACCAACCAACCAACCAAATGAAGACCAGAGCATCTCCCTGAGTGTTGGTTCCTCCCCAAAAGTCGGGGCTTCACTGAGGGAACCAAAGAGCTTCCTAGTTTCTGATCACCCAGTCTCCTAGCAGGCTTTCTCTAATTGTGTACACAATTCAGACATGTCAAAAGAACCCCGCTTGGGCCATCTGAGACTCATGTTATCGTGAAATGTTTCCCATGCAAGTAAGCACTTGCAAGTATAGGCTCCCTATGCATTGTACATGTAGCGTGCAGGTGTTTCTTGTGAGGGTGGGCCGTTGTTTCCTCAACATTTGGTGCAGGGTTCTACAGAGTTTTGGTTTGTTTCGTTGGTTTGGTTTTCTGCACACGTGTGTGTGGGGGGGGGGTGTGGTGTGGTGTGTTGTGTGGTGTGTATCTGTGTGCACGGTATCTATCGCTGCTGCGCAGCTAGCTGATCCTCAGGGTGCATCATCCTAACACCGCAATGGCTCGAAACAGCATTTCTTTATCGATAACTTCCTGGTGCTTGCCCTGGGTGGCCCCTTGGGTTCTGCGGGTTTACGCCGGGCTCACTCAAGCAGTGGCTTTCGGCCAGAGGGTCAACTTTCACACGTCTGGCAGTCGGTGCCGCCGAGCACCGGGCTGCCTCTGTTGTCAATGCCTCTCATGCTCCAGTCAGCTAGACTGGCTTTCTTACGTGGAGGTCTCAGGACGGCATGCCAAGAAGGTCGAGAACGCCGGCAGACCACCTCTTCAGGTGTAGGCTGTGAAACCAGCCAAGTGTCACTTCTGCTCTATTCTTTGGGTCAAGACAAGTCCCAAGACCCGGTCCAAAATCAAGGGACAGAGCAATCAAGCCTACCTCTGGATAGCAGGAGCATCGAAGTCATAGGACGTGAGGGTGCACACGTGCCGGGACGTGAGGGACACACGGTTGTCGGTCTGCCACAAGGGATTCCTAAACCCTATGCCGCGATGCACATTTTTGCAAAAGTAAGCTTTACGTTTTAGCATCTAAAACATGATTTCCTTTGAATCAACCCCTAGAATTGGATTCACCAGGAAGAAGGGGAAGATGCGTTTTCCAGCCTCTTGATACAGAAGCTCTTGATTTCCAGAGGGCACTTGGAGGACCCTTCACCAGTCTCTGCTTTGTAAGGCGGGGGGAATTTTTTTTTTTTAAGATTTTATTTATTTATTTATTTGTTTGTTTGTTTGTTTGTTTATTTATTTGAGACAGAGAGAGAGAGAGAGAGAGAGAGAGAGAGAGAATGAATGAGAGAGAGCACATGAGAGGGGGGAGGGTCAGAGGGAGAAGCAGACTCCCTGCTGAGCAGGGAGCCCGATGCGGGACTCGATCCAGGGACTCCAGGATCATGACCGGAGCCGAAGGCAGCCGCTTAACCAACTGAGCCACCCAGGCGCCCAAGGCGGGGGAAATTTAATTGGCCAACCCCCCATGAAAAAGCGACCGATCACGTTCCGACGTCCGAATTAAAGGCAGGCTTCCTTTTTAAAGGCATCCATAGAGCAGCCAGCTCCGTGGCAAGGAGCCGGACTTCTGTGTGTCTGATGAGGAATCCCATTCTCGGCATAAAGGCAATCTCGGGGAGCAGTCGGAGGCAGACCAGATCTCAGATCCACCAAACCCAAGAAATCCCTTGTGATCTGAATGGCTGAATTTGTTGAGGTTTCCCTCCCGATGGCTAAGAAGATGCCTTCCTATCACAGATGACAAAACACAAACCAACAAAACCCCGATAGCTGGGCAGGGTCTTCAAGAAAGGGCCCCTTTTTCATGGAAGCCAACTCTTCCATCTCGCGCCACCCGCCATCATGGAGAGGAAGTCTCTCGGGATGAACGAATGCCTTTGCAATCTACGTTAACCGACTCTCTTTTCCGATAGGCTGACACTCTTTCCCCTCGTGGACACGTCCCGAGATCGGCAGGCTTCGGTGCATCGGTCTTCTGTGCACCAAAAGCCGTGCGAAGGCCCCTGTCGTCGAAATGTATTCGGCATGGACGCTAGTGAAGAATTTTAAACCAGTCTAGCCCGGTTCAGTCCTTCAGTCCTTTTTTTTCTCATTTCTTACATGACCGCTGTGTCCTAAAAGGATACAACTGAGGAAACTCCAGATGGAACAGAGGCAAAGGGAAGGGGGGCAGAGCTTCCGTGTTCCGTGACCCCTCTCCAGGAACGCCTCTGTCCCCACCATTTCAGGCGTTCAAGCAACCTGGAAGCTCCCCGAATTAGGTTAGTTCTTCTTCGAAGGGGCGGGGGTCGGGGTGGGGAAGGTTGGGGAGCGCCGAGGTTTGGAAACATTGCAGGGCAATCAAGGCTATTGCCAAATCTCGAGTCCGTGCAGAGGTACGTAAGGTACACGTAAGGCCGGGATGGGGGGCGTGGCGTGGCGTGGCGTGGCGGGGCGGGGCTTGGCGGGGCGGGGGTGGGTGGGTGCGCGCGCCTGGCGGGGAGGGTTGCGGTGTGTGTCCATGTGCGTTCAGCAGGTGTAGGGGAGGAAGAATGTTCCCTCTAACTTCCCTTTCTACTCCCTGTTGGGGGAGAACAGTGAAGAGAGCCCGGGTGAGGGCGAGGGCGACGGTGACGGCGAGGGCGACGGTGACGGCGGGTGGGGGCGAGGCGCGGACAGGAAGGGGGGAGGGGTAGTAGAGGTGTTTATTTCTTTTGGCGGTGATGGAAATGTTCTGGAAATTGCAGTGAAGGTTGTGCAGCTTTGTGAGCCACCTTAAAAAAAAAGAAAAAAAGGCCACCCAATGGCCCACTTTTAAGAGTATGCGAAATATGGCATGCGAATTGTATCTCCACTTCGAAAATCTGTGACGAAACAATGTGATGGACATAGGGAAGGAGGGAGGGACGGACGGGACCCTCACCCTCACCCTCACCCTCACCCTCACCCTCACCCTCACCCTCACCCTCACCCTCACCCTCACCCTCACCCTCACCCTCACCCTGGCTCTCTTCACCGTTCGATCCATGGATCGATCGATCCATCGATCCATCGATCCATCGATCCATCCATCCATCTATACATGCCATGCATGCAGTCTGTCGGTTCATGTAGACATCAAAGGGGGGGGAGGGGAAGGGGGCCACGAGGGGAGGGGAAGGGAGGAGGGGAAGGGAGGAGGGGAAGGGGGCCAAGGGGGGAGGGGAAGGGAGAAGGGGGAAGGGGGAAGGGGGAAGGGGGAAGGGGGAGGGGAAGGGGGCCAAGGGGGGAGGGGAAGGGAGAAGGGGGAAGGGGGAGGGGAAGGGGGCCAAGGGGGGAGGGGAAGGGAGGAGGGGAAGGGGGGAGGGGAAGGGAGGAGGGGAAGGGGGGAGGGGAAGGGAGGAGGGGAAGGGAGGAGGGGAAGGGGGAAGGGGGGAGGGGAAGGGGGAAGGGGGAAGGGGGAAGGGGGCCAAGGGGGGAGGGGAAGGGGGGAGGGGGGGAAGGGGAAGGGGGAGGGGGGAGGGGGAGGGGGAGGGGGGGAGGGGGAGGAGGGCGTGCATGATACTGGGCATGGTTTTTATTCTGAGTGCTTTTATTTGTTCCCCAAACTAATCACCTCTGTGGAGATAAAAGATCACCCACATGAGAGCGGGAATCATTTCTTGAGGGCAAGAGAGTCTGCGGTCGGCCACCACCGCCTGGGTCTGGCAGAGACGCCAAGCAAACGCAGGCCAGGCGGAGGAGTGGAAAAGCTTTCTGGTGGCAAAAGGGGAAGGTCCGATGAGAGGTTGTTGGGGGTGGGGGAGCAGGATGGGAGCTGACTAGAAGAGGAGTGTCCTAGGTCATTTCAGGGAAAGAGAAACTTGATTTCCGTCCGTGGGTCCATCGATCTCATTCTCTCATTCTCTGGATCTAGCTCTGTGCTCCAGACGAACACATTCGAGGGCAAGACCAGGCGCGGCCAAGAGGACTAGACGGGTGGACGACTAGGCACGGTCAAGGTGGAAAGTGGGGGGCGACTGGGTGGCTCAGTCATTAAGCGTCTGCCTTCGGCTCAGGTCATGATCCCAGGGTGCCAGGGTGCCAGGGTGCCAGGGTCCCGATAATCGAGCCCCGCATCGGGCTCCCTGCTCGGCGGGAAGCCCGCTTCTCCCTCTCCCACTCCCTCTGCTTGCGTTCCCTCTCTCGCTGTGTCTCTGTCCAGTAAAATCTAAAAAACAAAAACAAAGCGACCAACAGAGAGACCTGTATCCTATGATCTCACGGATAGGAGGAATTCTTAATCAATCGTAGGAAACCAACTGAGGGTTGCTGGAGTGGGGGGTGGGGTGACTGGGTGATAGACACTGGGGAGGGTAGGTGCCCTGGCAAGCGCTGTGAATTGTGCAAGACTGTTGAATCTCAGATCTGTACCTCTGAAACAAATAACGCAATCTCTGTGAAGAAGAGAAAAAAAATAGAAGAAGGTAGCGGGAGGGGACGAATGAAGCGGGGGAAATCGGAGGGGCGGACGAACCATGAGAGACGATGGACTCTGAACAACAAACTGAGGGTTCTAGAGGGGAGGGGGGTGGGAGGATGGGTTAGCCTGGTGGTGGGTATTGAGGAGGGCCCATTCTGCATGGAGCAGTGGGTGTTGTGCACAAACAATGAATCATGGAACACTTCATCTAAAACTAATGATGTAATGTATGGGGAT